CTAAGAGATGCATTCCAACAAACTGCTCCTGTACTTCCACTAGAGTTGCTCAAAGGCAACTTGTTGCTTGCCATCTCCTCTTGGAAACCATCAGAAATGCCATCTGGATCACCCCATGCCAATATAGGATATAGGAAAAAAAAAAAAACCCAAATGAGGATACAACTTCTGATTTGAAAGGGACAAACCTACTGATGGTCTAAGAAATTCTAAATGAATTTTCTAAATGAAAAGTGTAAGAGTGGTATCTTTTGGCCAGAAGCAAGTCAAATAGTGATAAAATAAAGGGCAGCCATTGTGCCTATGGCTGTTTATAATGCAATGAGGGCATTACAACTACTTTACCTTTCATGCTTTCCTAAATTTTAATTTGCAAATATGATACTGTTTTTATATGATTTCTTTGAATATTGTTGCAAATTTTAAAAAGTGAGAATTTAGTATCCTCAATTCACTCCACCAAAACAAGCTTGTCACAATTTTGTGGAAGAGCTCCTTTTAGTGCAGAAAGGTGCTAACTCCTTTGTACCACAAACATTGTGAGTAACAAATAAATGATCAGTTCAAACAAGTCTTCAGCTAGAAACTTAATTTGGGCAAATAAATGCCACTAACTGAAACACTTGACCGGATGAGGAGACAAGTTTGGCAAACACAAAAACACACATGAATCTGTAGCATGTTAGTTTGACTTTCCTACCACACTGTTTACAGCTGGCAGGGAGTCACCAGCAACTGCCAGTACACAGGAGAAATGTGGAAAGTGAGATCTCACTCCTCTAGCAGCCACAAAAAAAATAATTCAAAGTAATGAGACCATCCAGAGCTTTCAAATGCACTTTGAAGTCTGGCATTAAATCAATCCAGTAACACTGTGTTCTACTCTCTGCCACTACCCCACTGCAGGTTTTCCAAATGGTTTGTAACAAACTACCCACAAAGTGCCAATTTGTGATTCAAGTGAAAAATAAGGTCTGGAACACCATACAAAGAACGAAGCAGATCAATTGTAATAATTTCACTGAAGATTGAGTGAAACAGTGAAGTTAGTTTTAATGTAATTTTATTAATTTTATTAATACTATGACATACTCATACTTTCCAGAATTATAATATCTATTTCAGAGAAAAATTTCCACTGACAAATTGAAAAGGAATTGAAATAAATTCTAATTTTTAATTTTGTGGATGTGAAATGAACTCTTAAAAATGTCACAGTCTCCCACTTGCCTTCTTATTCCTCCATTAGCTTTCACACAAGTAAATATTGAGATTATATTACTTTATTTTCTATTTATTTGTAGAACAGACCAGAGATACAGAGATAAAACCTGCATCATGAATCACAGGAAACTGGAGTGGAACCAAATAATGCAGCAATCCTTGTATCTCTATTTAGTCCTTCCAGAAATATCAAATAGTCCTGTTCTGGACTCCACACCTGCAAAGCTGTATTTGGTCCCCTACAGTAAAATCAAGCTGTACTCATGTCTGCATGCAGGAAGTCACTCCAATTGTGCCAGGACAATTGCACTTTCAGTGGCACCTTGTGCCTGCAGCTAATATCCCTTTGCACTGACACATTTCACACCTCCAGTTCACAAGTRYACCAGCAGCAGTTTGTGGAAAGATMTTGCCAGAAGCTGTCTGAAYGAATAYATTATATTAATTCATTTATAAGAGAAGATGTGCTAGAATATTGTGATGTTATCCTAGCTTAAATATTACTTTTGCAGTATATGTTTTCAGACATTTAAGGTTACATCCCATCTTAAAACAATATCCTGGCCAAAGAATGACATGAGAATTGACTCACCACTTGTACCATTTTGAGATATCTGGCATATCTTGGATCCTTGGCCACAGTTGTGACATTTTCTGTTACCACCTCTGTTTTCTGCAGCCCTTCTTCCTGTGTGTTGTTCTGCTGCATGTGAAGAACAAGCCCTTTAATGGTTAGGGGTACACACCAGACCCATGCAGAGATTTCAGTCCATAAAATTGGGTATTTTATGGTCAAGTGCAACTCTTCATCAAGATTATTCTGATCTACACTCAGAGAATTAAAGGTTTCAGGAAATCACAAAATTCAGCTCTTTTGCTGTTTGTTCACTGTTACAACATTGTCTTTCTACTTTTAGTTACAATTTTAAGTTATTGAATGACACATTAAAAAAAAAAAACATAGAACAAACAATAATCTCATTGATAACTTCAGGGATAGGATCTTAATACTGATTGCCTCTAATAAGCTGTACATAGAGGATAATATGTAGAAAATCTTCATTGTAACGAACTCTTTAGAATAAAGTACACGAGAAATTCAAATTTGAGCTAAAAGCTCATGTTCTGATGAAAACAGAGTTGGAATGATGTGATTTATACTGTTATTTTCATTCATGGCTCTCCCAGCCCCTTGATGTAATTCATGTTCACATTTTAGTGTGATTGAAGAGGAGGAACTTACCATCAGATTTGAGTTAGTTCTAATTATTCAAACCACATAGCTAAGATAAGGCATAGACTTTTTTGTTTTAAGTAATTTGTTCAAATGTAATTAGCGAGAAGCTTAGTTTTAGATTTTCACAACTGACTGCTCATTTCCAATAGACTTTCTTTTTCTATCTATTTCAAATTCCATTAAAAACGTGCCCTGGAGAGCTCTACCCCTTCACAGCATGAGTTGTGTTCATTACTCACCCCAGAGTGAGGTGACACAGCTGCCTGTGGATCTGCAGCAGCTTGTGCCACAGGACCATTTGTAACACTCTTCACATCTGCACTGGACACCTCAAATTTGACATCTTCTAGGCCAGGAATTGAGGATAACTGAATGCAAAAAGAAGCACCACATAAGCAATGAGTGCCACATGTACAACCAAATCTGCAGGATGCTGCTTATCACCTCTTTTCCATTAGCAAAACGAACTTTTTATCACTAGTTTTGGTATTTTGATTGGGGAAAAAGAAATCTTTCTGTTGAGCTGGCTTCTACAATAAACAGCCCCAGACATTCCACTGGAGCTTTCACTGTTAACACAGGGCTGCAGAGCAGGAAAGGCTTCCACACCTTCCCAGTATTTTACTACTGCACTTATCAACCACACGAGAGCCCTGCAACCTCTGCTACAGTGAAAGAAATCATGGCAACAACAGCTCTGTCACCTAACAGATGGATCACTGGTTAGAAATTTTTCCATTTTCTACATCTTTCACATTTTTTAAGAAAATGCTGACAGTGGATATCAAACACACTGCATATCTATTTGAAGGAAATTCTACTTAACATGATTATGAACAATTCTGCAAAAATCATCAATATAGATGATTCCTAAATATTTTGAAGTTAGTAAGTACTATTCATATTATTACAGCACTTTTTTTCCTCAAAGATCTTAATGAACAGTTTAAAATATCCCACCCTCGCTCCCAGAAAAGCCAACCAAAATTGTCTCCGTCATTATTGAAAGAACTGGTTAAAACTTCCTAGTGGCTGGTTTATTGTGGGATTTTTTTGGGTTGTTTTTTTTTTCCTTTCAGTAAATTATATACTATATTTCCTGTATAAGACCATAGATTATAACCTTTAGTCATTTCAGCTAAAGAAGATAAACCGAACACATTTGCATTATCTTAGATCCAGTTCAGGTCACATTTCAATAGCAGAAGATTTACAAGGCTTCTCTGTAGTTATTTATATCAGCTGAAATTCTTACAATCTGGTAAGAAACAAAGACACTTTTGTTTTACAAAGGGGGCAAGAATTTCCTTACCAGACTCTGCATGGCAAAAAGTGCTCCCTTCCTGTTCTATATGCTTATCACAGACAAACTCARCTTTTCCATYAGGTATTATCTGTTTCTTTCTTCTGTATCAACTACATGTTCAAATCTCGCAGAGTTTAAGTAGCAAGGAGAAAATTTTTGATATCAGGATGTTATATTAGCTCCTTCAATCATGATGAAAACTTCTTTGCTCAATTCAGACTAGAGAAAGGAAGCCAGCTCATGTAATCTAAGAAGCTGTCACTGGTAGAAGATGAAATCCATATCAATACAAACCTTTGCATCCAGAATATTGAGGGTGGTTTCAATGTGTTGGATACGGAGAGAGAGCGCTGACAATTTCTACAACAGAAAACAATCAGGAGGTGAAAACATCCCCTGTGTACTTGTACACATAACACAGGTTGCATCTGGTTAAAAGAAAATCAGTTCTGTCTTCTACCTGCTGAAGGCAGAGTGCAGTGTAAACGAGATTATTACATTATGAAATAAATCAATGACAATCCTTTTTAGTACAGTAGCTACAGTGGTTCAAATCAGAAATAGTTTTACTCTGCAATTGATTTTCCCATATAATGACAGGAATGAAGACAGACTATGTACAAAAATAGCCAGAGGAAATAGGGCATTATTTGGGTAACTGGAGAATAATGGTAGCCATATTGTACTCTCCCAGTTCCCAAAAGATCTTTCTTCAATGTTTTTCCCAATGTGGAAGATGAAAAGAGATGATGTGTGCACATGCAACTGAGCAAATACGCAGAGAAAATCTGACAAATACAGCAGGTGATTCAAAGTCCTGTACCAGTCAAAATCCACAACGAATCAGAACTATCCAGACACTTTATATGCTCCAGGTGCACCTCAATCAAATTTTTTACTTTTTTTTTAAAAAAATACAACTTAAGTTTTTCTAAATTGCTCTATAAGAACTGCCAGTCTTTGAATAATCACTCCCATATTCCAGCAGACCTGTCCAAGTGGAGTTGGCTGGCGTGCTGGCTGGCAGACATGCACCATTCTGACAGCTCTCTGGCACCCTGGCAAGATTCTGCCTGGCTCTGAAGCACAGCTTTAACACCCCAAGAAAATGGCAGTTCTGCCAATATGCTAGAAAAAGCAGAAGGAACTGACAGGAGTTAGTCTTTTTGGATAGTGCACTGACTTGTTTACAGATGGCCCTTTGTTCATGGAGAGGAGTCAGCTCCTCTTGGAAGGAACTATGTGTCCTACATGTAACTGGGTAAGGGGGAGGTAAGACGTACAAAAGACAATTATGCAATTTTATGGGTCTACTTGACTAGACAAGAGCCAAGAAATTCAGAGTTAAGGATGGTGTCAGCCCTGATTTTGAATTTCTTGGCTTCTGTTGACTTACACTGCCACCTTTCACATTAAAAACACTTCTGTACTTCATAAACACAAAAATATTCTCAGGGAGTATATAAAGCAACTAATTTAGTCTCTTGGGTAACAACACATTTTGGTTAACTAAGAACTGTTTTATTAGGCAGACTTCACAGGTTTAAATATACATTTTCTGGTTTCCGCAGTGCCCAAGGAAAAGGGAATGCTCAGATCAGGTGACAACTGAGTTTTGGACAACTGACAACAGCATCATCAGGCAGCTACCCTGTCCTACCTATCAAGTTACAAGGAGCTTAAAAACCTAGGAAAAACTGCTTTTTTTCCTCTGAAGCTCCATATATTCATGTGGAAGCCAAATTTTGTACTTGCCACGGGTCTGGCTCTTAACTTCACCAACAAATAACAGAATTGCTCAGATTACATGGCTTAGCCTAATTGGATTTGAGTGCTGCCCTAGCCCAGCTGGCTGGAGGTGTACAGTAGTCTTTGTTGAATGAACTAATGAAAAATTAGAAAAAAAAAACCCCAAAGACAGAACTGTTACGCTCAAAGCCACATTAGAAAATGCTCTTTCTGCAAGGGAAGAAGCACTCTTGTCCTGTTCAGTGGACAATTCTAATCTTGTCAGTGTTTCAACTGATGCTAGAAAGTCACCACATAAATATACTAATCCTAAATATTTTTATTTTTCTCTTTTTACAGGAAACTTACGCTAAGGGCTTCACATTATATACTAATCACTTGCCAAAAAAAGTGCTTTTTTCAACATAAAAATTATTTACACTCAGAGCTTAGCATATCACTCTTAAAAATTAAGGGTGATAAAATCTGAAAGTAAGTTTTGATGTACCACAGGAATATGGCATCCTTCTTCCATAACAAGGTAAGAGCCCCAGAGGAAGCTGCTCAGAACAAACTCCCTGTAACAAAAAGTTCAAAGATTGTGCCAAATGGAAAAAGTTAAGAAAACAGGACCAAGTGTGGCACAATCAGGAATAATTCATGTGGATCCCTTGGAGAAAAACTCTGTCTTAAGCACTTACTCAAGAGAAGCCTTGAACAGAACGCTGATTACATTTTTTGATTTAAATTACCAGTATTACTGCATAAAAAATATTGAAATGAATGGTTCTCACTTCCAGATTTTTTTAAAATTGTATAAATGCACAGCTGGGAAAATAACAAACCTACCTCTTCACAAACAGTGGAAAAGCGGTTGAGGAACTGCACTGTGTGAACCACAAACTGGTTTAGAAATGCTACAGTTCTCTTCTGCTGAATAGCAGGAACCTGCATTAAAAATAACACAATTAGGTTACACATCAATGTCAATTTTCACATTTGGATTCAAATATCTGCTAAAAATGCAGGTGTTTTAAAAGAAATTATTTGGAAATCTGTCTTAAGTGTGCCACCTATGAATGCACACATACACAAACCATTTTCTAATAAAGAGATTTACACATGCACGCACACAAATCCTTTGCCACTAAAAATCTTCTAATGCGACAACTGAGAATTTACAGGGCACACAGAAAAGGCAACAAAACCAAATAAATGAAGATTCGTTATGTTAAAGAAAAAGCCTTTAGATGAAACTGTGACTATTTCTGAAAATCAGTTTTAATGTTTTTTAAAAACAATGAGGAAATTAGAATCTTTCCCTCTGGAGTTTAGAAGGAAAAGCAAACTTGGCCAGCCATACTAATACTCTGTTACAACTAACACCATGATCAAAATATTAAAGTGTAGTGATGCTGCTAAGTATTTAGTGGTTACCCATACTGGTTCTTCATTTGCAAGCCTAAACTACCCCAAAATCACCAAAAATGATCCTCCAAACCAGTTTTGATGCTCACACACTTTTCAGACTAAATGCACTCATGTTTGTCAAAAAGAATGGTGGTGATATTATAACAGACAGTTGACATTTTTATTTAAACCATGAGAGAAGACTGCAATCAGGAATTTTCACAGAAAAGTTTATGTATAAAATTTTAGTGTTTCAGCGTTAATAACCTTGGACAAATGCTTTAAGTCTTAACCTTTGCAGAGGAAATTAGCCAATGAAATTGTCATTGTGGAAGATAATGTGAATGGAAGATTTACAAGGGAAATTATTTGCAGTCGAGCTTCTATTGCATTTTTTTTGGTGAATGAAGTGACTCTTTGGTCTTCACTTCTTCTTTAGTCGCTGATTTATCAGGCAGCTGATATGAAACTTATTATGACAATCTCAAAACACCCTGATTTTTTTTTTTTTTTTTGTGAGACTTTTATCTCGAGCCTTCAGCCTGTGCACCTGCTAAAGTTCAATTCTGTGCTTCCAGAACTTGTCAAGCAGCGCTTTTGACCTTGACAGAAATCTGTGGGGGGCAGAGAGCGCGGGACAATCATCGGGTCACCCTTTTGCAACATCACAAGACACGAACAAACAACTGCGCACAGGATTCGCATCACAGATCAACGGCTGAAATTAGCCTTTAAATACAACATTCTCACAACAATTAGTCTTTAAATACAACATTCTCACAGAAATTGCGGCAAAAGGCTTGTGGAAAATAGCTGGAGTGACAGGTGAGGATGAGAACCCGCTGGGCACCGCCACCCTCAGGAACGGGACCGGGCCGGGGGACACGGCACTCGCCAGCACCGGGGCAGCGCCGGGATTTATAGCACCGGCAATAACCCAGCACCGGGAACAGCACCGGGATTTATAGCACCGGCAATAACCCAGCACCGGCAATCACCCAGAACCGGCAATCACCCAGCAGCGGCAATAACCCAGCACCGGGAACAGCACCGGAAATCCCGGAGAGAGCCCCGGGCCAGCGCAGCCACCGCCGGGCCAGCAGCAGCGGCAATCCCGCCCGTACCTTGGTGAGGTCGATGCCGGAGCCCACGATGGGCAGCCCGTCCTCGTCCATCCCGCGGGAGGGGCCCCGAGCGGCCCCGCTCCTGTGCTCCTGTGCCCGGCCCCGCTCCTGTGCCCGGCCCCGCTCCTGTGCCCGGCCCGGAACCGAAACAGCGCAGAGAGAACGGGGCGGAAACAATCCCGGCCCGGAAATGAAACAGCCGGAGAGAGCGGGGCGGGACCGGGAGCGCGCTGCCTGCTGGGAAATGCAGGCGGGGAGCGAGCCCTCAGGGTGTAAACACCGAGTATAGACCCCGAGAGTAAACCCCGAGCCAGTATAAACACCGAGAATAAACCCCGAGTTTAAACCCCGAGTTTAAACCCCGAGTATAAACCCCGAGTATAAACCCCGAGTTTAAACCCCGAGTTTAAACCCCGAGTATAAACCCCGAGTATAAACCCCGAGTGTAAACCCAGAGTATAAACCCTGAGACTAAACTAAACCCCGAGTATAAACCCTGAGAATAAACTAAACCCCGAGTCTAAACCCCGAGTCTAAACCCCGCGGAGGCCGCTGTGGTCCCGCTGACACAAGGTCTCGGGATGTGGCCCTACATATCGGTGTTTGGGAGATAAAGCATCGTCCCCTGCAGTTAAAAAGCAAGGAAATAACGAGGAAAGGCAACGAAGGAGCTGTTCCTGTGCTCACAGGAGGAATTTGAGGGGGAAATGCCACGCTTTGGATGTGGGGGATAAAAAAAGCATTGGATGGCCCTGGGTTCTTAAAAAAAAAAAGACAAATTGGGGTGACCTGGAGGCCCTGTTGACTGCAGCAAAGCCAAATGGATTGTAATGGAGAAAATACCTGGTGGAAATTCTTTATGGTTACATCTAAATACTGCTGCATTTAATAAATGGTCCAAAATTCAGAGCACTTAAAAAACCACCACAGTCTGAGGCTGTCAGGAAGCTTCCCCTGCGATGAGAGGAATAAAGATGCACTAATTACTGTAACATTTGAAGATTAGACCCCAAATGTACTATGCTAATTTTGGTTTAAAATTTGCCAAAATTCTGAGTTTACTTCCAAATTATTACAGTTTGCCAAGCATTCCACAAATCCGTATGCAGAATCAACGGTGGCTGTACACAGAGCGCTTAGTTTGGTTACTCAAGCTTCCATAAAATTCTCACTTACTGAAGCAACTCTTTTACTTTATTACTTTAACAAGATATTCATTACTAACCTGCTGTCACATGCACGTCATTATTTCTCTGTTACTAAGATAGTATAGCAAAGATTTTTGTCCATAGTGCTTGAAATATGGAACAACTTGTGATTCATACTATGCTTTGGAGCACTGGTATGTTGTTGGCAATGTTGCAACTTATTTATTTTGCCACCTTAATTACTTTAAAATCCCAACTACTACATTATATTTAAGAAGAATTAATCTCATTTATCATATAGTGTCTGTAATTTAAGTTTTCCAGGCAACGGCACAGAAAATTATTAATGTATATGCATAATCAGATCTTATCTGAATTTCTAGGTCTATAAAGCTGAAAAAAAACCTCACAAAAATGTGTTCTTCTGTGAACTTTCTGGTACTTCCTGCTTTTAATTTGGCCAAAAACACTGCATAGAAAAGTGCAACACAGCACTTCTTCTCCCAGCTGGAATTAGGAAATGCACGGTACGAAAAGTGAAAAACAGAAAGGAGAGGAAAATGATCCAAATTTTCCAAAACCCCTGAAAAAAGTTTTAATTGAACTAACTTGTTCAACTGTTACTATAAATGACTGAACTCCCCCRAAGAGAGAAATTATAAAAAATAATTGAGTGATAATATCCAGATTTATAGTGTGTATGATTTGAAAATGCATTTTGTAGCAGCACCCACAGCAGATGATAAATGTCAAACTGATGAATATAAATACTGCAGAGTACATAACTGCTGGCAGTTTGCACTCTATGCATGTGTACATATATACATGCTGGCATTTAAAGCCCCTCTTGTGCAGCTCCACCCTCTAGTGAAGGAAAAGAAAGACTTTTAAGAGTTACCACAATGAAGTTTGGTTGAACATCAGTATTTTGAAGGTGTTAGCTTTCCAGATGCTGAGGCTAACTGGGAGTGGACAAGCTGTACAGAAAACTGATCAGAGCTCTATGTTTGTTAGTAAAAAATACCTGTTTTGTGATGAGGGTCCACAGAAAAGTAAAGGCAGGAACATGGGTTTGAAAGCATTGAAACTGCTCCATATATTGCACAAAATCAGCCTCGGGTCAACTGCAAAACAAAACTGCACAAGCTGAGAAAACCTGGCAAGTGCTACTGCAGCTGCCAATGTCCATGTGCATCTCTGTGCTTGTAGAGTGTTCCAGCTCCCAGGACACCACACTCAGGTTAGAATCAGCCCAGAACTCTGAACAACTGAGAGACAAGTTAAACAGCAACAAAAACCTGATCCAAAACCAATTCCAGACATGGTGTCACCTGATCCTCCACGAGGGGCAACAGTTGTGTTTAACAAGGTGGTCGAATGAACAGCTGAAAAGATCAGTGTGGATTAACATTTCCTTGATTTCCCATGGAGTCTTCTAAATCCATGCTTGCAAAGGGAATTCTAGTAAAGTTTTCTCTATGAAACTGATATTGCCTCAATGATTTTTCTCTCAGCTGAATTAAAGCAAAAAMACCCCCCATCTCAATAACCTTGGTGTGCCAGAATTTGTATAAATCTTGCACACAGTTCAGAGAATTATCAACCCTTGACAGTTAAATAGACTGAGAAATACAAATGTTAGGTATTATGTAGGTTTCTTAAAAAAAAAAAGAAAAAAAAGAAAAAGAAAAAGAAAATGGAAACTAAATGATAAATGGTTTGGAGTTCTCTGAAAATGGTTCATCAAGTTTCAGTTTTCCAAGTACTGTGCTCAGGCAACATCAGAGGATTAASTAATTATTTTGTTCTGTACAAAAGAGTATGGGGAACATGCTAAAAACATTAGCTGCTCCTTCTTATTTATTTATTTATATTTAATATCCATATTACTTCTTTCCAGTATAAAATGAAGAGCCTTGAACTTGGCAAGATCATGCGTGGGTAAACACTTTTAAGTAGTCCTTAAAAACAGAGCATGAAAAGCAAACATCCTGGTTTCTGAATTAACTACAGAACAAATGCATTTCTGCCATTTGCCCTCTTGGGTCTTAAGCAATTCCAAATCCAAAAGTCTCATTTAAGAGTGCACCTGCACATTCCTGGTGCAAACTGCCCTTGCCTACATGGGTCCAGTGAATGTGTTCTGGATAGGCAGGAGCTGTGTAAAGTTTGCTCTGAGGGGACAGAAAAACCCCCATTTGTTCCAGTTTCCCTACACTCCAGAAGGGTAATGGTGCCTCAGGCCAATCCTTCCAGACCCAGGAAGATTTTTAGATTTTTAGATTTTTAGATACCATTGAATCAACCCTCCCTGCTCTCTCTGGTCAAACAATGGACACAAGATGATGAGAGTGCAAAACATTGAAACATCCTCCAATCTCTTTATTTTACAGTTTAACCACGCACCAGCCAGGACTGGAACTTAAAAGGAAGTCATTTTAGGTAAATTTTGGTGGCAGCTGGAAAGCAGAAGTTCTTAAGGATGAAGGATGATGAAAAAGATAATATAGTCTTATGTTTTAAAAGGTGACTGTAATCTCACTTATTGATGCCCTACTTCTGAATTGGTTTTATGTGTCCTAAATAAATAAGAATAAACAATAGAGTATTTTAAAATCTAACTACAGCTCATAAGGACGGCTATTATGCTGTAAGAAGCTGTTACACTAGCTGAAACATCTTGACATCCCTTCACTTGCAAAAGCATGCAAAAAAGATACTTAACACAGGAGCTATCTTTGCCTTTTACTTTAGTTCTGGGTTTTGTATGGGAAGGACAGGAAAAATAAGTTKCTGGAAAGCAGAACGCCTTTGATTTTCCTGTAAAGGCCAGAAGAAAAAGCCTGTAAGCAGAAAAAAAACCTGTTTGCTGTTTGACAGGCTTGAAGTCATCTTRGGAAAAATAAAACTGCTTCCAATTATCATTCTGATTTTACCACGAGCTTCTTTACTGTTAGTGGTACCTAGTTTATTMAAAAATGTTCAGGGACAACATTTAAGACAGTATATTACTGCATTATTTTTTCCTTATAAAGTAGTGATGGTTGGGAAAGTGAATATAGAGAGTTAATATAGGTGTTCTTTCTGTAGCAATTCTGCACAATTTCAGGTATTTGAGCTATGTTTACTGAGTGAGATTGTAAAACGTAGATGCTGGGACACAAAGCTTCTTTAAAAAACACTTAAAAATTAATTTCACACCAAATACCACGTTTAAAAAGTACTTTTTGTTTTAATAGAGATAASCAAGTATCAGATGTATGATAACCAATTTTACAAAAGCTCTTGTACTTGCAAACTAAAAATCAAACACAAATGATTCGTATCTTGCTTGGTTCTTCCTTTTCCAAGTGAATAAGTCCCATTACAAAGAATAAATGTCTTCATTTTAATAGAAAAGGCATTATGCTGTCATTGGCATTGAAGACAAATGCTTATTTTACATTTCAGTTACCCAAAAGAAAATTTTATGATCTCCTCCGACTGCACATAATGGAAGAGTTCTGTGCCATGTCAAACCAGATCCTACAGCTGCAGTCCCAGTCAGAATGGGCTTTAAAAGAAAAAAAAAAGGGAGAGAAATATCAATACAACTTCCCTTTTAAATGACTTCTATAGCAGGCACAACAAATATCACAGATTAAACACTCCTTAACAAATACAGTTAAAATATGACAGAAATTCAACTGAAAAATATGATTCCAGTAYCTACTTACTACATCTAAGTGACATACAGCAAAATATTCCACAATAACAAATAGTTGGAACTATCTACATTATTGCAAACATTATTATTTTAAAGGCATGRTCTTAAACTTAGAAACCTTTTTAAAGATTTACTTCTGCTATTTCAGTGCACTCACAACTAGTATGTTTGGAGGTAATACTTTTAGTGCAAGCATTACAAATATCTACTGACTCCAGCATTTCCTGTGCTTCAGGTTTTCATTAATGATTTAAAATATAATCAGTTCAAACCAGAAAT